AGGAAGGAAGGAAGGAAGGAAGGAAGGAAGGAAGGAAGGAAGGAAGGAAGGAAGGATTTCCGATGCTCCCTGCCAGCTCCCCATAAGCAAAGTCAATGGGGAAGCTGGCAGCAAGTCGTAAATTGCTCCCACACCCACTGCTTTTTTGCCCTTGGTCATTCTGTTTCTCTGTTTAGGTAAGGAAATATCCACTGCTTTTTTGCCCTTGGTCATTCTGTTTCTCTGTTTAGGTAAGGAAATATCCACTGCTTTTTTGCCCTTGGTCATTCTGTTTCTCTGTTTAGGTAAGGAAATATCCACTGCTTTTTTGCCCTTGGTCATTCTGTTTCTCTGTTTAGGTAAGGAAATATCTCTGTAACATTGACCCAATGGGTCATGGGTTGCTAGTTAAACATTAAAGGAAAGCAAACTAATTCCCCATCTATAAGCAAATATTTCTAAATTTATCTGATTAAAATGCAGGTGATCAATCAGTTAAATATTAATCATTCAAAAGATACAGGCTTTTAGTGTTGAAATTATAATAACTCCCTTCCTGTCTGAAGAATATGCCCCAATCTCCTTACAGATATTCAGACAAATGTACACCAGAGGAATTGAGTTCACTATGGCTCTGTGCATGCAGCATGCTTAACCAGTCTAATTACAAGTGGCTGTATTCATCCAACATGAAGCTCTTGGGGGATGGGGTTGAATAGCATGTTGTGCAAACCAAGGCTATTTGGTTAGTTTGGGGTTCAGTATATTATTCAAACAAAATGGGCTAGTTCAGTCATCAGATTAAGCATGCTGTGTGAATACAGCCAATAATAGGCTTTGCCCTAACTTATCTTTATTCATCTGGATGTGTGAAGGCAGCCTCTGAGAATACAATAAAGACTGTAAATTCTACTAATTCATGAATGTATGGTAAAAAAAAATGAAAGGGTATAAATCAAGGATGTCGTTTGATGCTGAGTTTCTGTTCTCCCCCACTCTGAAAAATCATTTGAAGACCTTTAAGAGGCTAGAACCAGAGAACTGATAAAGAAAAAGTCATCATGTGTGGGAATCACAGGATTATGGAGTCAAACAAAATTTTGGCAGCCATCATGTTCAACTCTATGTTCAACGCAGGAAATCCAGAACCAGAGCATTTTGAACAGATGGTCAGCTAACTTGTACTTCAAGATAATCAGCACGAAAGGACCCAAAATTCTTTGGGTGAGCAATGGGTGAGGCTTATGTGGAGTATAACAGATAAATATACCCATCTTCTGCAATTGGACAAAATGGCAGGGACCTTTCTGTGCTTCCAAAGCTTTTTCCTACCTCCACCCGATGCTGGAAGTCATGCTCAGGCTTCATCATAGCTTCACTGTACTCCTTTCTCTGGCCTGTGAGGCAAAAAAGAAAAAGAAAAAAATAATTCAGAATTCAGCTCCAGCTATTCATTAGGATGGCAATCAGACAGCTGTTTGTAGTGGGTACCACAAAAATGACAACCCAAAACCTCAGTGAAAGTTTATGTCCTGGAGGGCAGGGGTTGGTTCTAATGGTCTTGGCTTGTCCAGGAATGTTTTGTGGTGCCAATTAGAGAGAATTAATGAGGGGGTTTGTTTCTTTTTGCAGTGAACAGAACAGAAGGAGGGTAAGTCTCCACCTTTCTAAACTAGTTTATGTGTAAGGGATGGCAGATATTCCTCTCTCCAATGCCAGAGTGAGAAACTACATGGCACAGGGCCTGGTTATTTGAGGGACCACCTTCTCCCATATTATCTGCCTGGCCAGTCTGATCTTGCGGGGTTGGTGCACTCTGGATTCCTTTGATTAAACAATGCCATCTCCTGGGACCTCAGAAGCACGGCTTCTCTGTTGCAGCGCCTGCCCTATGGAAGAAAGTTCCCCCCAGAGATTCAAATGGCCCCCACCATACTAGTGTTTCAAAGGGCCCCAAAGATGTGGCTCTTCGCCCAGGCCTTCGATGAGGAGGATTGACATCCTTTTCTTCCATTTCTTGGTTCTCATTTGGGTTTGTTTTCTCTGCCGTTTTTGTTCCTTTTGTTTTGTGTTGTTCCCTTGTTTTTAAATGTTTTTAACAATTTGTAAACCATCCAGAGTCACTGGGAGTTGGGCAGCATAATAATAATAATAATAACAACAACAACAACAACAACAACAACAACAGCAACAGCAACAGCAACAGCAACAGCAACAGCGATAGGTAGATAAAAATGCCAAATCCAGTCTAAACATCTGGCTGATTGTGCGATCAACCATAATACTAATAATCCAGTTCTCTATAGGCTCTTTCTTGAGATAAAAGAGTTATACCCCTATACAAGAAAATTGACAGTGG